AGGCCTGCTGTGTGGCAACCATTAACTCCTTCCAGGTCAGCAGTGTCACTGATTGGGTTTTGAAACCATACAGACATGGTTTTCAGGTTATATCATACAAGCCTTGAGTGACTTGTCATCTCCTCAACCTTTCCCTTCCCTTCCCCTCCTTGAGAATTTTAGTTTAGTTTTAGTTTTGCACAAAGAATGAAGCATGAGGCCGAGGGCGAATGACTTCTTTAGAAGGAATTTGTTGAAAGGGACTGACTTCCCCCCAGGAATAAACTACGTTGTGCTAAACAGCTTTATACCAGTCTCACTGCGTCCACGTGAGGGGATTGTAGCCCCTCAACTAGTTTCAAACCAATATCGTTTAAACAGCGCAAACACTGGGGAACAGGCCTTGTGCTATAAAACAGGAGCCAGTGCAGAACCAGAAACGTGTAAATAAAAACCTGTGATTGAAGTAAAACCAAAATCAGTGTGAAAACAAAACCCGGACCCTGTTTGTTAGCAGTTAGAGCCCCTAGTTCTGGATCAGGGCCCCGTTGTGCCAGCTGCTGCCTGTTTCCTGGGCAAGCTACAATTTAAGCATCAAACAAGACCCATGAGGCGCATGACGCACGTGGGAGCAGGCGCTTGGTGCTGCATAAGCAACATAGGATAGAACCACCCTGAGTCAGACTGCAGATTTCTCACGGCATTTCGTATAAAAAATTACGGAGCAGTTACAGTAAATTTACTAAAAGTCACAAGTCACTAAACTTACTGTGATGACTCCAGGATGTTTAACAAAGGGAGGGGCACCAGCTGCCCAAAGAAGCACTTTCCCCCCAGCACTGCAACCCTAACCCCAGCCTGATGCAGAGTGGTTGGTGCACGCTAGAGAAGATCTGGGGGGCAAGGCCATTCACTGAAGTTTGACCCGCCTCCCCCACATCATGACCGTGGGTGGGGGCAAATCTGAGCGGCACTGTAACCCCGCAGGCCAGGTCTCCGTACCCAGAACGAGGTGTTCGGTCCAGCCTTGTCAGATAGGAGCTGCCATTGCAGGGTGAGGCGCACGTCCAAAAAATAGATACAGAGAAATGGGGAAATCACTCCATCCGTGACATTTTCCCATCCTTGACAAACCTGTATCCTTAACCGTGAGCTAACACCGGGATTGCCTCTGCTTTCTCCAGCAGGGCACGAGATCCTGGGAGGAACGAGGACATGGTCTGGCTGTGGCAGGAGCTTCAGCCAGTCCTCAGTCCTGAAAATACACTCGCGTACGCACACCGGAGAGCAGCTGTACTGCTGTGCTGACTGTGGGAAGGGCTTTGCATGGAGCTCAAATGTGAGAACACACCAGCACACGCACACCGGGGAGCGACCACACCGCTGTGCTGATTGCGGGAAGGGCTTTGCACAAAGCTCACACCTGAGAACTCATCAGCACACGCACACCGGGGAGCGTCCGCACTGCTGTGCTGACTGCAGCAAGGGCTTTGCAGAGAGGTCACACCTGAGAATACACCAGCGCACACACACAGGGGAGCGGCCATACCACTGCGCTGACTGTGGAAAGGGCTTTGCAGAGAGCTCAAGCCTGAGAAGACACCGGCGCACGCACACCGGAGAGCGGCCATACCGCTGTGCTGACTGCGGCAAGTGCTTTGCACAGAGCTCAATCCTGAGAAGACACCAGCGCATACACACGGGGGAGCGGCCGTACAGCTGTGCTGACTGTGGCAAGGGCTTTGCACAGAGTTCAAGCCTCAGAAGACACCGGCGCATACACACTGGGGAGCGGCCGTACAGCTGTGCTGACTGTGGCAAGGGCTTTGCACAGAGTTCAAGCCTCAGAAGACACCGGCGCATACACACTGGGGAGCGGCCGTACAGCTGTGCT